AATTTCCTTCCCTCCGATATTAATATTGGTTTTTCAAATTTGCGTAACGATCTTCAAGCCAATAAAATTTAATTTTTGCGTGATATCTGGAAGGGAGATCGTCACATAATTTAGCCAATGAAATCAAATGTCCACTATGCTGGTTTTGTTGCAGTATGTCCCATTTCAGGGTGTTTCACACTATCCATCCATCATCCCCGTTATCTTGACATTATAATGATTAAATGATATAGATAAATCACTAAACTGGAAATCAAAGTAATGAAAAGTATACAAGGCAGTCTTTAGCTTATTCATTACCAGTATTTATTCACAAAACTTCAAACAAAATAAATTAGTTGGTGATGATGATGATTTTGATAAAGACAATTACCAACCACATGTGACTTTAATGAAACTCAGAAGTGCTTTTTTTACATTGGAGCCAAATGATGGCAAAAAAAGAAAATCAAAACCATTCCAGATGAAGTATATAGAAATTTCAAAAGTAAGAATTTATTGTATCATATCATATCATATCATTTATTTATTATTAGAATATGAGTTTGGAAGTCATTTGATCCAATCAATTGAATTGTCATCAATGCAATTACCAAAATGTGATGATGGATATTACATTACCATACAAAAGATTGATTTTATTTAATAATTTATTTTTGGATTTGAAAGTGGATATGATGTTGTTGAAGGTGGAAAAGAAAATGATGATAAAATCACAGCAGAAACAAAGAACAACATCTTCAGAAACTTCATATACATTAATACCAATATTTCATTATTAACTTACTTTTTTATTTATTACTTTCTACCTTCTTTCTCTCTCTAATTATTTCAACTTTTAACTTTTTAAAGTTAAAATCACCAACTTCTACAAATGAAATATTTCCACCTTCAACTAATGCAAATACAATATTTGAATTTTCATTTTTGTTGAAAAGTTTTTCAAGGTTTTTTAAATTTGGAGGTTTTTCTGAATCAGGACTTTTTCATAAAAAATATTATAATATAAAAAATCAGCAATTAATTTATTTATCAAAAGATTCCCTATATTTTTTCATTGTCTCCTTACCAAGAAACAATTAGATTAAAAAATGGTTTTCCAGGACTTTTTTTTTTAAATGA